AGCTTTCGATGGGGTCTGAGCCGTGGTAAGCGAAAATTGACGCCTGGAAAACTATACAGTTGTAGACTGAGACGGAGTAGTCTGTGCAGCACTCAGAAGGTGCTGAGGGTCTATTTCTAGAGTGTTCACAGTTTTCAGAACCGTCCCACCGTGAGGAGGTCGCCATTTGCGCAAGCCTTAGGAGCTACCATGTGGCGACAGGATTTGAGTGATACCGTGTGCTCATGCGATGTTACGGATTGCGAGCGGGCTTTGAAGAAGTTTACCAAGTATGTCGGGGTTCGATTTATTACGCGGCAAACGTGGGCAACAGTTTTATAGCGCACGGTGTTGGTTCTGTATACGTTGATCGTCAATGGTTTCACCTTAGCAGATAGGGATTGCAGAATTTTGCAGATGACAGTATGGATCTTAGAATAACTAACTGGTGCCTTATTAGAACATAGTAGAGGAGGCATAATGTGTGCGTCCGAGATTTGGGAAAGGGCGGCTATAGCGAGCGTACATGAGTAGGCCTGACTGACTGGGGCCGATGAGCTTCTGGTATTCTTAGTAGGATGTTCCTGCGGTACATCTTGAAGATTTAGGTCACGGGTTGCGAATGCAGGATCCGCTAACGCGCTACTTATCTCAAGGAGAGCCGCTATTTTAGCGTCTTTTTGCAGAGTGCTGGTTTGATAGAGTTGAGTCTGCAGGTCGTCCCGAGTTCCCGTTGACTCCATGGCGAAGGCACCAGGTTGGCTATGAAGATTGGGCTGGGTAGGAATACCCTGATTTCTGAAGGGTTCGTGAGTATTTCCCAGCCATTATTGGAGGCCTGCCTACTATCCCATTGGTTGCGCGTCTGACAAGAATCTCTTTGAAATGACTGTTTAGCTGCGTGCGATAGAGGGGTTTCGGTGGTGCCAAGTGCGATGGAGGGAGCTGAAACCTGCAGATTCGGTATGGCCTATTCTTGCACATCTGAAACAGGTTACGTCTGAGTTGGATGCCCGTTCCGCGGTTCTGCGATTGAAGACGCCTCTAGGTTGGGAATTCTTCAAGGGCTGCGTGTGCCAAAGTTGCGTCCACCTTGATAGTATTGCTGAGGCTTTTTGTCCATGCGTGGTTGCGCATGTATTGCGTGAACCACGAGAGGTGGGGATTGCGCTGGTGGAAATATGGTGATAGCGTCTGTGGCGGATTCAAAAGTGATTGCTTCGAATACGGCGTCCTCGAAAGTTGGTGGGTTAGCCGCCCTAACATGAAAGCGCAGGGCAGATCTGAGACGATCAAGGTACTCATCAAGAAGTCTTTCGTTCTGGGATGGGGATGGCCTAGGCTGGTTCCACGTTACCTTCTTAATGTTTCGCTTGCTGGGTTCTGCGAACACGCGGGCCGACTCTGTGGGTCCCTGCTTGCAGTCACCCAGTTGCTGTCTAGCCAGGTTGCGGAAGTGCAGTGACTCGAAATGATTGCGCAGGTGCTCTACTATTTTGCAGTACTGGTCCTTTTCCTTCTCCGGCATTTCGTCAGCCAGGTCACGGGCTTCCCCATCTAGGTATCCTACCAAGGTGTCTTTAGTTGCTCTGCAGCGGTGGGTTGACCATCCGTACCATATTCTCAAAGCGCTTGAACCAAGACTCGAAGTTTTGGTCGTCGGAGCCTAGAAAAAAATTTCAAGGATTTGGGTGCGAGCTGCGCAAAAGGCAGGAGGCGCATCAGAATCAGTAGTGTGCATATACGCCACTCGCTCTAGCGAGAGCGAAGTGCCGGGGCGTCCAGTTCGAAGAGCCGAGGGACTCCTTCTTGTTGGTCGAAGTAGGTACCTCTGGACTAGATGACGATTCCGTGGATTGACATGTCTGGGATTTTGTTGTAGGTCGAAGAATTGTAAAGGATAGAGTATGAGGAGTGCACAGCGAACAGACTGGATGACTTAAACGAACGACGATGGTCGACTATACTGTTATCATGTTATGGACTAGAGTTGGTGAATGTTTGTCATGGAAAGACGAGCCGAGAAGCTGCTCCCATCAAATTAGGGTGCGCCTCCGCTGCTATATCTGAATTTAGGCTGGGAAAGTGCCGGCGAAGCTGAGAAAAGATCTGGATGGCATTCTATGTTTTGAGAGAATAAACATGAGGAAATGGCGAGAAATATTCGGAATTCAAGTGTGCTAGGTGAAAGAGGAGCATTTTTGAACAGGGAAAATAAGAGGACGATGGTGGATTAGGTGAACTGTAAATGCGGACTGCGATAAGTTTCCAAAAAGACGGGCAGAAGAATGTGCCGATAGAGATGGCAAGTGATGCATATCATATTACCAGGCGGATATAACATCACTTAGCAGCGAAAGATATATTTGAAGCAATGCAATTGGAGTAAAAACTATGTTTGGAATGTAGTGAAATACACGGCAGAAATAAATAATTACAAAAGAGGAAATCGCACCTTGAATGTCGATATGAGAGCTCTGTGTCGACGTTTCTCTCAGCTCAAGCAGGGGTTTTGTTTACCGGTCCCAGAGGTGTCGAGGATTTTGCCGGTATGGCCGTATACGTAACGTATACGTATATTGCTTCACAAATGCAGCGCGATTATTAAAACACGAACTGATGGAGCGATGAGGGTGGGGGTACAAGGGAGGAAGGCTTCCAGGTGGAGTCCCGGGAATCCCTCGAAACTCACCTTCGTGACACCCACGAGCGAAGCTCCCGATCGAGGCCTAAGCCGGTCATCTCCGTGGAGAGGGACTACTGCCACAACTACTAGCCCTCCTGGTCGGGGGATTGTGGCTCACTCGGAGACCACACTCGCTGCTACCAGTAATGATCCTGCCCATAGGGATCATTTATACCCACCACTTCAGCCTCTGGTCGAACGAGAACATAACACCTCATATGGAATATCATTTATCCTTAAGACACAATACGGAACTGGAACATGAATGATAACATGCAGAAATACAGCCTATATAGAGACAGGAATACACGCGGATTGAAAGGATAGCACCGGGGCCTCTGGCGAGGAGACAGACAAGCACGAGACCCATCCAGTGTCCTCAGGCGTAGGTCACCGGGTTGAATAAGTCAGAATTGGTGATGAGGTCCGCCGAAACGTGACGTCGTCTTGGCTGCTGTGGTCGGGGAGCTAAAGCATCAGAGAGCCATGAGTACGGTCGTGCGCGGCTTCTATACGGTTCCCAGCCTTATCTCCACGGCCGTCTGAAAACACAGGATGAAGATGAAAATTAATGTGAAAGCAAACTCAACTGCAAATGCCAACCGTACCGTAAACCTCGAGGCTAATACATGCGCTCTGTTAAATTACGCCTCCATCCTTTACAGTATTTCATTGTTTTATCTCTTAGTTACTACAGATCTTGTTCGATTCGGGAACAAATGAGTCGTTTTTCTTAGTATTTTTGTTAGTTTGATGTTTTTACTGATGTTTCAAAGACTCTATTGCAATACCTTTCCCCAAACTCTTGCCATTGGAATCGTGTGCGCGTTCATCCATGTACTGTTAGTGATTCTTATGTTAAAATATTACTGCGTTTTAAGTCAGAGAAGCTTCCATTTCAGCAATGTTGAGAGTGGTTCTGGATCACTCGTTACTCTTTTTTTCGATAACAAAATGTGTTGGCATCTTGTGCTTGCTTTGGTGAGAGAAGAACAGCCTTAAACAATCTTTCCATACCATATGATGGCAGACTATCTTTACACTACAGCTGAGTCAATGAATTGTTCAAAAAATAAGAATAGAATAGTAGGGTGAAAACGACGATTTATTTTATTTATTTTATTTACTATGCGCCCGAGGACGCGCTATAGTCCGGCAATGCAAGAACTAGCGAGACTGCAAAGCTGTTAGGGCTAGGATCAACAAAAAAAAACAGAAACCAACCAAAAAAACAGAAAAAAAGAAGTGGGCATGATTAAAATGTCCGATTAAATCCTTTCACGAATCAGCTCACTACTTGGAACGGAAAGAAGAGAGAGCAAAGAAATTAGGAAATTACAGATTTGCTTGTTGAACAGTCTGGCTCACTGTTAACAATTAAGCCTGGACTAAAGCACTGAAGTGATGAATAGACAACCAGCCGGCGCATCGAAAGCACTGAATATCAAGAGGTACGACTCAGGAAGCTCCGGACAGGAGCGGATAGCCGAACACACTTAACGTGCAACAACCAAGCGTTGCCTAAAACAAAGGCCTGCATCAATCGGCTATGATGCCCACTCGCCACATACTGGGTTATAGGGGCTTACCGAAACTTCGAGACACGGGTATACCGACAGCCCACGTGGAGACGGCAAGCTAGGCGAGTGTCCCGGGTGAGGCACATGATAGCAGACGAAGTGTGACCGGTATCCTCTCAGTTCCGGAGCTGTGGGGAGACGTTGAAGTATAATTTGATAAAAATTGGGCCGCCAGCCGATGTGTCTAGCCAGCAAGTGTGTTTGGGTAAGTCATGACCAAGCAGGACCACTAATCAAGGAGTCACTGAGCTATCATGAAGAGAGGAGCGCGAGCAAGGAGATTTCAAGACACGTCGGCGATGCCCAACTGACTCAAAATATTGGATTTTGCGATAGCCTTCTTGAATTGTGCTGAGTTGTCGAACGCTAGAAGTTGGGAAGGTAACGACTGCAGCCACTTTGTAGTTCGTATTATATAGCTGTTAGCTCGTAGTTCCCGACAACGGTTGCCCATTTTGTTAGTGAAAACATTGAAGGTGTCTCTTCGTCCTCGAGATGGCCGGAATGTCCAGAACTGGGAAGGCATCAAACGCAACTCTCCTTTCAGAAGCTTAAATGCTAAAACAACATCAGCTTCAGCACGCCAATGAAACAGGCTCTTCAAATTTAGCACCCGAAGTCGAGTTTGGTAGTCTGGTAACGATCGGGGGTAATCGACGCTTGGGAACGCTCGATGATAAAAAATTCTAGTGGGCGATTTCTTAGCTTTTTCAATCTTATGAATGTCTCTAACCAGGTAGGGGCTCCAGACGGGGCTACAGTACTCGACTATCGGGAGAACATACATCTTGTAAATCTGATCCAGACGGAGGTTTTGGAAGTATGGATATTCCTGAACAGAAGATGCACCAGTTGAGTCCCTTACTTGAAATTTCGTCTATATGACAACTCCACCTCAGACCAGCAGACAAATTGACTCCAAGATCTTTGACATTGAAAGATGGTGCAACAGGGGTTCCGTCAGGAAATCGCACATCAAGTCTCACAGCCCCCAGCGAGAAGAGATGGCATTTTCTGCGGTTGACATTCAATCCCCATCTAGAACACCAGTTACACATATTCTCGACGGCCTTGTTCAATAAGCTCCGAGCTTCGTCTTGGTCTTGTGCATGAAATGCTATGGAAACCTTCACATCGTCAGCATAGGCGGCAACATGAAGCCTACTATCTGCTTGGAGGCATGCGACGAGGTCGTGGGTGTATATGAGGAAAAGCAGGGGGGATAGGATCCCACCCTGGGGCACACCTGAGGTAACTTTCCTGGTTGTTGAGACATAATCAGAAAAGCGGACGTTCATTTTCCAGTTAGTTAAGTAAGATCGGAACCACTGGAGCACCCTACCCTTGATACCAAAACTTTCAAGCTTTGCCAAAAGACACGACCTCTGGACAGTATCGAATGCCTTAGTTAAATCAAAGTAGACAATGTTTACGTTCAACCCTTGGTTGACGGCTTCAATCCAGGTGTGGGAGCAGTCGATCAGCTGAGTACATGTGGAAGCGCCTGGTAGGAACCCGTGCTGTTCACTTGGAATACATCGAAGTTTAAGCACCCAGTCGAGCAAGTTACTGTTAACAATTTTCTCTATGATTTTGAGGGGCGTGGGCAAAATGCTGATGGGACGAAAATTGGAAATGAGTTT